ATTTATTTCACCAGCTTTGCAAGAAATATCAATAGTGTCATCCTAGGACATATTTGACCTGATGAATTGTAAGTGAAAAGGTCTGTATACCAATATTACCCCCCTTAAATGTCTGGTAGATCAAATATATTCCTACTTCAGTCTTATTTTCCATGCTGGAGTGTGGCAACTGCCACACACCAGCAGCCTCCTGCACCTCATGCATCTGCATCCCCGCGTTTAAAAATGGCAGCTGGGGTGCTTGAACTAAAGCTCATCAAATGAGCTTTAATTCAAATGTCCCTGTCACCATTTTTAAGCATGGGGATGCTGATACATGAGGTGCAGCAGTGCTTTACTTAGAGCAGTTCTTGGAGCCCCCCCTCACACCCCTGAAGCATATGTAAAAGTGCCCTTAAAAACCAGGCACAGCCATTACTGTGCGTTACGGCATCTTAATGCACGTTTCTTTAGTACCTGACATTGGAGGTACTAAATTTAATGCACATTACAAAAGCATCTTAATGCACGTGTATACATGCTCACTGTTATATGTATCATTTCACTTACCATGTAGATTTTTACCTTTTAATATATTATAGCTGCTAAAGCAACATTATAAATGCACAAAACAGCATCAGAGTCCCTATATCTTCAGCAAATATTTGTTGAAGGAATCTTCTCAGGTAAGATTGTCTAACTCTTGTCTTTTAAACTTATACCTCACTGACAATCAGTTCACCTGATCTAGCCTATCTAATTCACCTCCAAACAAAGTAATAGACTTATTCAGAAAATAAAGTTTTCTAAGGACCTATATAGAATATTATAATCCATGGAGCCACTGGTGAGGATTAACTTTTGAAAAGCAAACTTCCTGTGTACTGGGGTCATGTCATTATGATACTATATTCTGTGTTCAATTACTGAATACTACTTCAATTCATTTAACACTAGGTATGTTAGATTCAAGTCTATTTATTATGAACATTTCATTTGCATAGAAGATTTACAGTGTTTTATTAATCCATCACCTGGACTCTCCAAAAATATGATGAATGATCTGCATAAAATGCTGCTCTTTATACACTTTAGGTGGTTTGGCAATTAATGGTTCAAACCTTCACTGCTATATTGAATCAAATGCTTTTTCTTTTTTAATACAGATCCAAATCCTAGAAGAGTTCTACTGTATCATAAAAAACCTGATAAATCTAACGTGATAAATCTAAACATTTGACAGCATTACTTCTACCAAGTTATTCCAAAATGTACCTTATTTGCAAAACCAGAAAGAAAAAAGTGCTAGAACCAACATTTGATTAATGAAAAACCATCTAAAGCTGCTCTATGCCATTTTATTTCTACAGAGTCATATTTCAGACATCTTTAAAGCAATGGATAGGCTGGGGATTTTTTCTCAAAAACATTTTATTAAAAAAAAACAAACTGACAACAGAGCTTGTTCAATACACCATGGCTGTGAACTAGAAGCAGCTATGAAACGCATCATAGTTCGCTTTTCTTGGATGAACAGACGCTTCTTCAATTATAAAAGTGTAAACTGGTGAAGATTGAATCCCAGCAATGAAAGTAATATAAATACATGTGTCATTGCTCACAGCACATATGAGTACAACTACAGCAGCAAGCAACACCTTGTTACCAGTAAAGAGAGACAGTTAATGTTGTATACTGTATTACATTGTATTCACATTACATTCAAAAGATATTACATTTTCCAATTTTGTTTCAATACTACTGCGTACCATAGCTGTGTACCAAATATTTTGGTTGATCTTTAAATATTTCAAGATTGCGAATGTCATCACTTTTTTAATAGAAGAATAAAACCATTGTATTCAAATGCTGACCTTTTTACTTTGCTATATAAGCCCATTAAAAACACCAAAAAACAAACCCCAAACCTAAAAAGCTTTAAAATATCAATTTTAAAGGATACTTTCTGCTATATCCTTTATTATAAATGTTACCAAGACAAAGGCAGAAACCAAAAATCAATTTTTAATATATTTCTTCCTACCACAGGGCATCAGAAACATTAATGGTTTCTGCATCTACACGACTACTATTATAAGCTTTTCTCTTCTGACATATGCCTTTAAAAACATGATTAATGAATAATTGTATATACATTTTAAGCAGTTCTGGATATAAATTAATTTTTAAAATGTGCTAGACACAAACTACTTTCTACTGTTTGTTTCCCCAAACTAGATTTTGATATTTACATAGCTGCTTAAACTTAGGCAGGTGCACATTAGGCCTGTATTCGCTTCGGATTCAGCCAATTCTGGAGACAGTGATTCGATTCGGTGATTCAAATCACTGTTCTGATTTGTTTCGGCTAAATCTGCCAGGCCAGGCCCATCCCCCGCCCCTTTCCCAGCCCAACAATGGGAGCCCCGCCCACCCCAGCTCCCAGCACTTGGGGGAAGAAAAGCCCCAGCTCAGCAGGAGCTGACGGGTGGGGTGTGATCCCTGCTGCCCCCCACTGCCCCATGATGTGTGGCGGGCACTGCATGAGCCCCTAATCCCCCACTCTGTGCCCCCAGCTCCCTCATGGGTGCCCTGCATGGGCCAGCTCTGGCCCTTTAAGAAAAAAAAACACCTGAAGAAACCCTGGGACTCACCACTTCTGCTGGCGGGGGCCATCCCTGCTGCCCCCTGCCATGTGGGGGGCTCTGCAGGAGCCCCTGAATCCCCAAGGCTGCACCAGGAGTGGTGAGTCTTGGGGCTTTTCTCTGCTTTTTTTTTTCTTAAAGGGCCAAAGCCCTGGCAGGTGGGGCAGCCATGGAGGGGGCCGGGGAAGCTGGGGGGGTGGG